GGAGGATGAAAATCCAGGATAGGGTGACTCTGTTATGTACCCTCTGTCCCCACCATCATGGAGCAAGAGTGCAGCGGGGGCCGTGTGCAAGGGTCAGGAACCACCAGGGGACTCCAGCAGAACAGAAAGAATGGAAGGTCACTTATGTCTTTGGAGTCAGAGGACAGGGAGGGAGAGGAAGGGACAGAGGGCACGTAACAGAAGGCAGATGATGTCGTGGTGAAAGTGCCTACACAAGAGAACATGGATGAGAAGGCAATAGAGATTCAGGAATCTGCCTCACTCTTTTTTAAATAACCAGTTTTAGTGGGTATTAATAGATTCCCAAGAATTGCATGAATTCCTTCTAGTGGGTGGGGATGCTGCCTATGGCCTCCCCACCTGCCACTAGGCCCGGACTCTTAAGGGTTCCACGTGGCTACACTGGTGGAACCTCTGGAGTCACATCCAACTCCCTGCACCTCATGGTACCCAGGAGCTCATGGATGCCTGCTCCCTGTTTTGCCTTAGCTGTAAAAACAGCAATCCTTTCAAGTTTTCAGACTTGTACTCAGCTAATGTGAGAAAAGAAACAACTGCTTACTTCTGTGAATGCTTTTTTTTAATGTGCATGTTCATGAATATTCATCTACAGCATCATCTGTAATAGCTCAGGATTTCATTGTTCAGAGGGACTGCGTATTGTCTAAACAATCTACGCTTATAAACAATGCTGTTGTGAATATCCTGGCCTAGAATCTAATTGACATCTAAAATCTTAATCATTTCATAAGAACCAATACTTAGGAGTAGAATGTAGGTAGAGAGTGCCCATCCTAGGTTTTGGATACATACCACCAAATTCATTTATACAATGATAATTACTTTTTCAATTTGAGGGTAGGAGAGTCTGAGATGGCTGTGATTAGCTAATCAAAGCCACGAGCCGGAACCTAATCCAAGCTTCTCATGTGTGTGATAAGAACCCAATGACTTGAATCATCACTGTCTCCCAGGGTCTGTAACAACAGGAAACTGGAGTCAGGAATCAGAAGCAGGTTGTAAACCTAGACATTCTTACAGGAGACTCAGATATCTTAACCACTAGGTTAAACACCTGCCTCCATTGGACAAATAGTCAATTGCTGTGATTTTTCTGGCCCTGAGATAGATGCTGCCACCACACAGCAGTGCAGTATGTATGAGCCTTTCCTGAAGCTTACATTCTAGTGGTAATGGCAGACAAGCAAGAACCCATTCAATATCAAGTAGTGACCAATGATTGGATGAAGGATGGTAATGGAGAGAGTACCAAGTGGCAAGTCCAGATGAAGTGGAGAGAACAGGTTTTCTTGATGCAGTGACATTTGATCCAAGACCTAAGAACGTGACAGATGCAAAGGTCCTGAGGGAGCCATTTTCAGTCCACCTGGCAGGAGCACAGTGATACAGGAGGGTCTGCAAAAGGAGGGGTTACAGTGGCAGCTGTGGGCCAGCTCAGCAACAGAGGGCTAAGAGAAGGGTGTTCATCAACCTGGTTGCTGAGTGGAGATTGCAGGAGCGGTGGACCAGTTGGGAAGCCCAGAGTATTTTGGCAACTCTGGCAGAGAGGTGATAGTACTATGGATGAGGCCAGATCTGAGATGTTGTAGGTAAAGCTACAACCCACGACACCAGCATCTCATATATGCCCCAGTTCATGTCCTGGCTGCTCTACTTCAGATCCAGCTCCCTGCTAAATGTGCCCAGGAAAGCAGTAGAAGATGGCCTAAGCCCTTGGGCCTCTGCACAATATGGCAGATCTGGAAGAAGCTCTTGGCTTGGCCTGACCCAGTCCTGGCCATTGTGGACATTTGGGAAAGTGAAGCAACAGCTGGAAGATCTCTCTCTCTCTCTCTCTAACCCTGATTTTCAAATAAATAAAGAAATCTTAAAATAAAAGATGTTCATGACCTATGTAGCTCTGATCCTGATTCTAGGTTCCTGCTAAGGTAGTCCTTGGGAGGCAGCAGTGATGGCTGAACTCAAAGGTGCTTGCACTCAGTCTGGGAGACGTGACTGGGGTTACCAATTTCTGATTCCAGCCCTGCTCTATCTTGGCTGTTGTAGGCATGGGAGTAGGGGAGTGAACCAGTGGGTGGGAGCTCTATCTTTTAAATAAATTAAAAAAAATTTTTAAAGATTTATTTATTTATTGGAAAGTCAGATATACAGAGAGGAGGAGAGACAGAAAGATCTTCCTTCCAATGATTAACTCCCCAAGTGAGCGCAACAGCCGAAGCTATGCCGATCCAAAGCCAGGATCCAGGAACTTCTTTTGGGCATCCCACACGGGTGCAGGGTTCCAAAGCTTTGGGCCCTCCTCAACTGCTTTCCCAGGCCACAAGCAGGGAGCTCGATGGGAAGTGGAGCTGCTGGTATTAGAACTGGCGCCCATATGGGGTCCTGGCGCGTTCAAGGCGAGGACTTTAGCCACTAGGCCATGCCGCCGGGCCCCTCAATTTTTTTTTTTTTAAAAAGGAGAAAATGTAGACTTGTCCTAGCCTTGTGAGTACACCAGTGTTTTAGCAGTTGGGCCCATTTTTGAAATTGTCACCATCAATGGTAAGAAAGAAAGAAAGAAAAAAAGAGAAAAGAAAAGAAGGAAGGAAGGAAGAAAGAAAGAAAGAAAAAGAAAAGAAAAGAAGGAAGGAAGGAAGGAAGGAAGGAAGAAAGAAAGAAAGAAAGAAAGAAAGAAAGAAAGAAAGAAAGAAAGAAAGAAAGAAAGAAAGAAAGAGAAAAGAAAAAGAAAGAACGAACCCTGAACTAGGGATGTTTGTTCCAGTTTTCCTGTGCCCCAGACATTGGAAGCTGGCCAGGCTGTCTGTCTCAGATCTCAATTTCCTCTTTAGGTACTGGAAACATTGCCAGGTCTTCAGACTGAGCTGATTCTGCTATTGCACGGACGCATGCTTCTTTGCAGGGGTGTGCATGCAATAAGCTGTGATCTGTCTACTGGGAGGCCCCCGGCAGGTCCCCTGCAGAGGCTGGGGACTGTGGTGGCAAGAGTTGACATAAGGCAGACACAGAGAGTGTGAGAAGAAGAGCAGGCAGCATAAGACATATCTAGGCAGACAGATGTGGGGCATTGAGACATGGAACTCAGGCTGCCAAGGCACAGGGAATCATCAATTTCAAGGCAACTCTGAAGAAACCCTGTCATAACCCTTCCATAGGGAAGCTGTTGGTGCCAAAATGAAAGGTTGTTTTTATGAGAAAGAGCAACTCAGAGGGGGAGAGGGGAGAGAGAGAAATATTAACCAAGGTCACAGAATGCAGTTCAGTCTGTCTCATTACTTCTGGATGCATCAGATTCTTCTCTTCCCTTAGAGAATTGTTTCCTCCAGTCTCTGTTGGAGGAAGAATGAGCAGAGTCAAGAACAGTATGACGCTGGATTTGGCCTCCCTCTGACAGGCATCCTCTCAGAGCCAGCTGCTTTCTCCTACTGTGATGGGTCCCTCTGGCAACTTGCCATTTGGCAAATACCCATTCCCCGGCACATCCCTCCTGCTGAGTCAGAACAACTGGAGAGTTGCACATGAACCTGAATATGACATAGCACGTGGTGTAGAATGACCTGGGGTAAGTTTATTGTTGTGGACTTAGGCCAGCATGGCAAATGCAACAGTGAGTTGTGGGTGGAAATTGCTTGCCCCCCATGTCCACTCCCATGTCTAGCCCTTCTGGCTAGACGTTCACTCTACCTTCCTGCCACAGGGAGCTGGATGGGAAGTGGAGCAGCTGGGACACAAACCAGCACTCATATGGAATACTAGCACTGGCAGGCTGAGGATTAGCCAGTTGAGCCATCATATTGGCCCCCAAGATGACCATTTTAATCCCTCTTAAGTGCGTCTCTCAATGACATTAACTGCTTTTAAGTGCACCTCTCACTTTGTGGTACCAAACCACTGCTATCCACCTTCAGGGTTCTGTGACTGTCCCAAGCTGAAATGCATGGCCATCTGAGGCGATTGGAGACCATTGTTCTGTTATGCTCTCCTTCTCCATGATTTTTACTGTCCTAGGTATCGCATGTACGAAGACCCCCAAGATATTTGTCTTGGGACACATAATAATGTTGAGGTTTTTTTTTTTTTTTGAAAAATTTATTTTGAAAGAGTTACAGAGAGGGAAACACAGATCTTCCATCTGCTGGTTCACTCCCCAAATGGTAGCAATGGCCAGGGCTGGGTCAAGCTGAAGACAGCAGTTAGGAGCTTCTTCTGGGTCTCCCACATGGGTGCACGGGCCATTAGCAGGGGGTTGGATCCAAAGTAGAACTATCAGGACAGGAACTGGTGTCCATTAGGGATGCTGGCATTGCAGGAAGAGGCTTTATCTCCTATACTACAGTGCTAGTCCTGAAAGTTATCTGTGATGTAGCAAGTATTCGTTTTTTTTTTTCCTGAAGCTGATTTAGTTCCCAGCATACATGTGTTCCACAGTGTGTTCATTCATCCAGATGACACACGTCTCTCTCGTCTTCTACCTTTTGGTGATTGTGAATAGTATTGCTGTGAAAGCTACCATAAAAAAGTCTGCTGAATCCTTGCTCCCTGTCATGCTGAATACATATCTGAAAGTCAGGGAATGGGCTCACGTAATGATTCTGCTTAATGTTTTGAGGGAAAATTGACAGATGGCTGTCCATAGCAGCTGCACCATTTTACATTTCTACCAGCGATAGTGTAAGAGTTACAATTCAGTATTTTTTTTTAAGATTTATTTATTTTTATTGGGAAGTCAGATATACAGAGAGGAGGAGAGACAGAGAGGAAGATCTTCCGTCCAATGATTCACTCTCCAAGTGAGTGCAATGGCTGGTGCTGCACCGATCTGAAGCCGGGAACCAGGAACCTCTTCCAGATCTCCAAGGCGGTGCAGAGTCCCAAGGCTTTGGACCGTCCTTGACGGCATTCCCAGGCCACAAGCAGGGAGCTCGATGGGAAGTGGAGCTGCCGGGATTAGAACTGGTGTGCATATATAATCCTGGCATGTTCAAGGCGAGGACTTTAGCTGCTAGGTCATGCCGCTGGGCCCTACAATTCAGTTCTAATTCATCCATATCCTGGCGCTCTATCTCTCTCTCTCTCTCTCTCTCTCTCTCTCTGTGGTTTTGATTTGTACTTCTCATCAGCATACTCTGTGCCAAGCAGTAGACTGGACAGATTCCCATGGGAGGCACAGTAATTATGGAAAGTGCCAGGGGCCAGGGCAAGCTCCCCAAACAATGTCTTGAAGTCTCTGTGAGGATGTGGCCTCCACTACATCCCATAACCACAACATAGGCTGTGTTGACTGTAAGACCAGGAACAGCCAGTGCTCAGGAGACTTGGACTGAAATGGGGAAGGGAAGCAGGCAGCCTGATTGGTTACAACTCAGACAGGAGAGCTTAGTGGGTAGTTGAGGTGTTTCCTGAAGAAGATGCCATGAAGGAAGGCCTGCTCTCCTTGGCCAGGAACTCCTTACTGATGAAGCCATGGGTGGCCAGGATCTTGAGGAGTCCATAACGAAACTTTTGACCAATGAAGGCATAGATGATAGGATTGAGGCAACTGTGCAGGAAGCCTAGAATCTCCGTGGCTTCCAGGGCCCGGTCAATGTCATTGCGACGTGCACATGTCTCCTCAATCATACGGGTCCTCATGAGAGTGTCTGCGAGCAGGACCAGGTTGTAGGGCAGCCAGCAGAGGAGGAAGATGAGCACCACAGCAAAGATGACCCGCATGGCCCGGTGCTTCTGCCCCATGTGGGCCTTGAACAGCGTGCACAGGGTGAACCCATAGCAGAACAGCATGACCAGCAGGGGAAAGACAAAGCCGAAGGTCTGGGGCAAGACCCTCAGCACCAAGCGCCACTTTGTCGTGCTGTTACCCACATCCTCATAGCAGACCGGGCTGGAATTGGATGCATAGACAGTTTTACGGATCAGTAACATGGGCAGGGACAGAATCAGAGACAGTCCCCACATGCTTAAGCATACAAACTTGACCAAGTGGCGCTTCTGGATCCAGGTGCGTGTAGCATGGACAATGGCCAGGTAGCGGTCCATACTGATGCAAGCCAGCAGCAGGATCCCGCTGTAGAAGTTGACCTCCTTCAGGAGTGAGACCACCTTGCACAGGGCTGTTCCAAAAATCCAGCCTTTCACCTTGGAGGTGGCCCAGATGGGCAAGGTCAAGGCAAAGAGGAGGTCGGCTATGGCCAGGTTCAGTAGGTAGACATCAGTGACCGAGCAGGTGCTCCGGCTGTACAAGATGACCAGCATCACCAGGGAGTTTCCCAGCAGGCTCAGCAGGAACACCACAGTGTACATGACAACTACAACATAACCGTTGGTGTCTAAGGCTTCCGGCCAGCAAGGGGTAAATTCTTGCACATTAGGTGGCAGATCAGTGCTGTAACTATAGTTACTAAAATCACTGAAGAAATCATCAGAGATATAATTCTCCAAGACATACTCTTGCATTGTTGAGAGAGTCTTAAATCCAGGCCTGTGGAAGAGAGACAAAGGTTACTACCCAAGCCATTCTCCTTGACTCGTGCCCATCACTGGAGAGGCTTGAATGGAAGTGTTCCTTGCTTGAGCTTGCATATCACATGGGAGGGATTTTTACTTCTAATATTAAATAGTAGGGACTCTAAGGTGATAGATTTAGTGACACATCATGCATTTTATGAAAAGGCTATATCATTCCCTTCAGTACCAGAGAGCAGCTCTTAGCAATTTCTGTGACATTGCTATCACTCAAATTTTGTTGTAAGTTCTCTTCAGAGAATTCCCACAGAACACTTGTCTGGGATTCCTCTAAGACATGCATCTTTGGATAATGAAGCTGGGTTTAAAAAAAACAGCACAGTAGTACAGTGGGTGAAGTCCTGCTTGTGATGCTGGTACCCCATATGAGTGCCTGTTCAAATCCTGGCATGCTCCATTTCCAACCCACTCTCTGCAAATGCCACACAGCCAGATCTGGCCATTCCAAAGCCAGGAACTAGAAGCTTCTTCTGGGTCTCCCATGTGACTTAGCAATTCTTATCCTAGGGACACAGCTGGGAAAATTGAAGGCGTGCTGTAGCTGGTGGAGCCACTGCCTGTGATGGACATCCCAAGTGGGAGCATTGGTTTGAATCCCGGCTGCTCTGCTTCCTATCTGGCTCTCTGCTAATGTGCCTGGGAAATCAGCAGAGGATGGCCCAAGTACTTAGGTCCATGCACTCATGTGGGAGAACTAAATAATTCCTGGCTTCAGCCTGGTACAATTCTGACTGCTGCAGCCATTTGGGGAATGAGCCAGTGGATGGAGAATCTCTCCCGTGTGGGATGTCCATCACAGGCAGTGGCTTCACCAGCTACAGCACGCCTTCAATTTTCCCAGCTGTGTCCCTAGGATAAGAATTGCTAAGTCACATGGGAGACCCAGAAGAAGCTTCTGGTTCTTGGCTTTGGAATGGCCAGATCTGGCTGTGTGGCATTTGCAGAGAGTGGGTTGGAAATGGAGCATGCCAGGAAGAGTGGGTGGAATGAGGAACAAACTGAGGTGAAGGAAGGTGACACATGTGAGGGTTGCACAGTGCCTTGCAGGTTCATGGTCTCCCCTCTGACACTGCATGTGGATGCTATTAGCTTCATTTCCAGGGGAGAGGCTCAGCCAGTAGCCTCTGAGCACAGGGTCTGCTGGTGGGTTTGCTGGGATCACAGTAAGCTCCCAACAACTTGACTTGCATTGTTTTCAATTTACAGCCATACCTCTTAAAAACATGACCTGTCATCTACTAAACACAGCTAGCCGTCAGCTAGGATCCTGAGCCATCATTAAGTCAACGTGTGTGCAGGATCCTCTCAGGTCTCTGTTTTGTGCTTTGCTGTCCTTTGCCAGAATGCAGGGATGATAAACCAAAGGCCCTTGACCTGTATAGCATCTGCTAGCCACCCTGTCACATTCTTGATGGCCAGTGGGAATACTCCAGTGCAGCAAAAATGCTAGCCTATTCATGACTCAGAGCATTTCAGAGACTCCAGGGGTGGGCTGAATTCCAAGAGTGATCACAAGCATTTAAGGCAACCTCTCTAATAACAAAATATTGTGACGTTCTAATGTAATCTGCTATTCTATCTCATAATTGACAGACACTTGCATTTAGTGTGTAGGGAAGGAGAGGTGAGCCAGCAGCACTTTGCCTGTCTAAAGACCCAATTCCAGCCAAAGTAAGGGGGTGCTGGCAGAGTCCAGATGAGGGAATTGGCATCCCTGAGTGGCTGTTGGAGAGGATTGCAGGGGAAGGAGGCAGAATCTGCCTTGGAGGAAAAGGAAGATGAAAGCAAGTAATTGAAGGCATTGAGGAGTGATGGGTTGGGGTGGGTGCTGAGAACAGTGTAGGTGGGCCTCAACGGGTTGAAGGAGCAGAGATATTCTAGGTTGGATGTAGTGAAGGTTTCCAGTGCTCACCAGATGCTGGGTTGTTCACCTGTAGGACACCTGCAGGAGGGTGGCTGCAGCCAAGGGCAGAGTGGTAGTAGCTGGTAGCAGGTGCACAGCTGAGGAAGGATTCAAGGGGGGAGCTTTGGGGACTGCGAGATGCTGTTGAGAGCCATGCATAATTACTTTCCAGATCAGCTCCTTGCTACATAGCCGTCTTACAGACTCCTGGGTTCCTGCTGGTGGGTTTTCTGGCCAGGCTTTCCATTTCGCAGATGAGGAAACTGAGATCTAGACAAGGGAAGTGTCTTGCTTGGATTTCTCTAATCTTTGCCCTGATTTCAGCAGGCTTGGCTGCCCTAGTCCGCTCCTCCCCACTGCCCTGACTCCCGGCTCCTGGGTGCTGTTGCTTACAGGTCAAAGGGAATGCTCCTGAAGACAGCAGACAGCAGCTTTCCTCCCTGCACCCCGAGCTTCCCTCTTCAGAACCCTGCAAGCCTCAGACTCCATTATGCCTCATCCCGTGAGAATCCGCAGCCCCAGAGGGGCCCCTTCCTTCCTCCTTAGCCATCTGCTCTGATCCTGCATATTCTATGGGTCGTGCTGTTAATTCTGGGCACTGAATCTGAGGACCCTAATTACTGTAACAGCTTCCACTGCTGGGAGAGACGAGACCTTTCTATGTGGAAAGAAAGCTTTTTGGTCAAAGTTAAAAATCCAACCCAGGTTCAAATACACTTTGGACAGTAGGGCTGGCCGACACTGGGGACACCTTTTGCCACCTTGGCTGGTGGTATTAAGTGAGAATAAACACAGGCAGAGCTGTGAGCTTAACTCCTGACCCCAGGAGCAGTGCCTCAGACCCTTCTGCTAGCCCTTTATATGCCTCTTGTACCCATTCACCTCAGGGCCAGCACCTAGAAGCTTCTCAAAGCTCATAGCAGACTCACTTAAGTAGAACACCCCAAAGGAAAGAGCCTTGGCTCCACCTGCTTTTAGCAAGTATTGGGGATGAAAGCAGTGACCCTGGCTAAATGATGCTGTCATTAGAGGCTCCTTACATATGTACAAAGGCTCCCGAGAGTAACTGGGCAAGTGACTTTTCCTTTATGAATCTCAGTTTACGCATTTGCAGAATGGGTGTGGCCAATACCAGAATGCGACTGATCAGACGGCAATAAGGATGAAAGCAGGGATCACCCCCACAGCACCTAGCACACATGTCTCACTGTTGAGATCACTGTCTGTGAGATAGTTTGTTGTCTGATCACCTGGGATGTCCCCGTGCTACTTCTGGCCCATCCTAATTTGCCTTGACCTGGGCACCCATAGTCACACCAGGTGCCAGCTTCTGGGCCAAATGCACATTAAGACATGGTTCATTTCATCATCACACCAACCCCACGAAGTGGGTGAGAAAATTAATCTTGTAAAAGGTTAAGCGACTTACCTCGGTGACACAGCTGAACTGGGCTTTCAGAAGTTTTTTTTTTTTTTTTTTTTTTTTAAAAACAGTTTTCAATCTGTTCTCCAATCTTCAATTCTGTCCACTAGAACAAAAAGCAGAACCCCAGCCTCAGGTTTTCTGCTCTTGGGGTCCTCTCTGCTGCAAACCCCCACCCCCTGGCCCACAGCCAGATCCCAAGGGGTTAGAGAGGGAAGCCAGATTGGACATTGCCCAACAGAACCACTTCTCAATGTCCAGCAAGGCAGTTTCGTTTCTGCAGAGCACAGGTGTGTGGCTAAGTAGTGAAAAAGCTGGCATCTCCACCTGGCTTTGTTGTTAATGGCCAGGTGAACTTGGACGAGTCGTTTCCTCCCATGTGTTGACACATCTCTTTGGCTAGTGGGGGAGATAGTGCTACGGCTGTCCCACCCAGTAAGATAGTTAATAATCATTTAAATGCCAATTAATTCAAATACAAGAAAAAGACTGTTGCTTTGTCATCCCAGCCATAGGTGCTCCGTAATCATAGACGCCTTCCAGGTGCCTAGCAGACAGAAGCTTGGCACTGTGGTGGAAATACTTGGGGACACTGCTGTATAGGTAAAGTGCTTTTTGGCTCGTAAGCCCCTGCAATTCCAACCCCATAGGAAGGACCTCAGGGGACCTCTCAGAAGAGGCCATGTTCTCCCAAAACTCTCCCTTCACAAGACCTCCCTGGCTATCCCAAGGATAAGCAGTTCACCTACCTGATGTTGCGGCGACAGCGACTGCTTCGGCTGGAATGGCCACTGATACCTCACTGTGACTCAAGGCTTGGTAGCTGACAGGGCTGTCAGACAGGAAAAAAAAAAAAAGTGAAGCAGCCTTGATGGGGAAACTGCTGGTGTGGGTGGCCTAGGGGAGGTGTTCCCACCCCCAACAGGAACAAGAAGGGCTGTCCTGGGACTCTCAATACACACCATGAGCCTGCCTGAAAGCCTGGGGTTAGACCCAGGGGATGGCTGTGCCTTCCTGTCTAACGGCTTCTGAAGGAGCCTGTCAGTCTGAAAGAGGTTTTCCTAGTCTACCTTGGGTCTCTGAGTGTCATGAACTTGCACCTGCTTTGCAACAAGGAAGTGGTACCCCAGCCCGTCCCGGCCCCACTGCCTCTGCACTTACCTGAATTTGCAAACACAGTTCCTGCCGTCTTTTCTGCCCTGCAGGTCTAGGTATCTTCCCCTACTACTCCACCACTCCCAGCCTCTGTTGCTGGAGAACCCTTGGACAGGGTGGGAAGTCAGTGTCTTGAGAAACTTTGAGTCGCTCTTGAAGAACCTTCCTAATGTCCCCTCTGTCCCACAGCTAGCTCTTCCCCTTCTGCCCCCGGACTTGGCTCCTGTCCTGGGACATGCTTCTCTCTGTCCTGCGACCCCTCCACCTCCCAGCTGCCACACTTCGGGCTTCTCTTTTTTGCTGACAGGCTTCTTAGACGTGCGGTGAGCAGTCTCTGTCCTCTTGTTCTCACCTCCGGTTTGCTGTTCCACAAATGCTACCACTGGCTTCCTTCCTCCCTGTGGTGCAGCTGGAGCGATTTTCTGCTAAGGGCAGACCCCTAGATTGCCAAACCCAGTTTGCGCTCTGCCCAAATGAAACTGCTCTAACTGTGTGAAAAGGGCCATGCATATTGTAAAGAATGCCGTCAACAGGAAAGTGTAGAGAGTAGAGCTTGGGAGCCTGCCTTACTTCTACTCACTCCTCTCGCTCCCGATTGCCTACAGTCTGTGTGTATGCCTTTAGATTTCCCCCCACTCAATCCAACCTATGCTTTCCTTCCCTTTTTCTTCTTAGTAAAAAAGATAATTTTATTAATTGCATTGTCCTATACTTCAGCACTATGTAGTGGACCCTTTCTCAATCAGCACCTACAGCTCCATATGTCTTCTTCCGGTGACCCTGTTGGATACATCATGATTTTTTTTTTTTTTTGGTTCACGCATATATACTTAGTGCTTCTCTCTAGCACCTTCCCACACAGGTGTCTGGGAACTTGCATGAGTTTCTGTACCTTTGGGATAATTTTGCCGAGTAGGGCCCATTTTGGTAAGAAATGTGGGCTGCTCTTCTTAAAGTGCCAAGTTCCTCTGCCATTATCAGTTTCTGGAAGTGTCTGTCACCTCCTGTATGTACTGCAAACATCAAATGTGACGTCTTTCCTCCTTACCACAAAGTAGGAAACAGTAGCCATGGGGCAGCTTGATGGCTCTTTGCTTGCCGCTGAGACTGATATCTTTTCCCACAATTTCTCCGGGACATTGGATGTCCATGTAACTGTGTTCACAATTTGGAAATGTTAATTTAGGAAACTGGTAAAGTCTTTAAAAAAAATTCTTTATCTGCCAGCCTGTGGTATGCTTTTCTGGGTTGCTGAAAATTTATTTGAAAAGCCGTTAGAGAGACAGAGCAGCAGAGAGGGTTTGTATCTGTTAGTTCACTCCCCAGACAGTCACAACCACTGGGGCTGGATCGGGTTGGAAGTCAGCAGCTGCTTCTGAGTCTCTCACGTGGGCAGAGGGTCCCAAGGACTGAGGCCATTTCCCACTGCTTTCCCAGGCCATAAGCAGGACGCCGGATCAGAAGTGGAGCGGTCAGGACTAGTGCCCAGGGGATGCCAGCGCTGCAGGCTTAGCCTCTGCTATGTCACAGTTCCAGTCCCTTGGGTCATTTTAAAACAAGATTTAAAAAAAAAATGTTTATGGAGTACTATGCAATGTTTCAGTGCATTTATACACAGCGCAATTTTCATTCAACATCCATACGTTCACCTTCAAACATTTAATGTTTGTTCATGGTGAAATATCCCCAGTCCCATCTTCCAGTTTTCTTCCTTTTTTCTTTTTCTTAAAGATCTATTTTTATCGGACAGTCAGATATACAAAGAGGAGGAGAGACAGAGAGAAAGATCTTTTGTCCGTTGATTTACACTTGGGAAGTAAATCAACGGCCAGATCTGAACCAATCTGAAGCTAGGAGCCTGGGGCCTCTTCCTGGTCTTCTACATTGGTGCAGTGTCCCAAAGCTTTGAGTCATCCTTGACTGCTTTTCCAGGTCATGAGTAGGGAGCTGGATGGACAGCAGGGCTGACAGGATTAGAACTGGCACCCATATGGGATCCTGGTGCATGTGAGGCGAGGATTTTAGCTGCTAGGCTATCACACTGGGCCCCCAGCTTTCTTCCTGTAAGAGAGAAATATACAGGCCTGGTGTGTTAGCCTAGCGACTAAAGTCCTCACCTCGCTTGTGCCAAGATCCCACATGGGCATTGGTGCTAATACTGGCGGCCCTGCTTCCCATTCAGCTCCCTGCCTGTGGCCTGGGAAAGCAGTCAAGGATGGTCCAAAGCCTTGGAACCCTACACTCATATGGGAAACTCAGAGGAGGCTCCTGGCTTCAGATTGGCTCCGCTCTGGCCGTTGCGGCCGCTTGGGATGTGAACCAACAGATGTAAGATCTTCCTCTCTGTCTCTCCTCCTCTTGGTGTGTCTAACTTTCCAATAAAAATTAAAAAAAAAAACTTTAAAAAACAGAAAGAGAAATATACAGCACCATAACATATATAAGCACCTCCTGTGCAATACAATCCCAGAACATTTTCTTCTTCTTTTTAAAATAAAAGATGTATTTATTTGAAATGCAAAGTTAGAGAGAGCAAGTGAGAGGGCGAGTGAGATGGGTCACGCTGAAGCCCGGAGCTTACAGCTTCATCTAGGTCTCCCATGTGGGTGCTGGGGCCCAAGGACTTAGGTTACCTTCCTCTGCCTTGCCAGCAAGGAGCTGGATCAGAAGTGGAGCAGCTGGGTCTAGAACTGGTGCAGGTGGCAGCTTAACCTGATGTACCACAACATTTGCCCCAGAACCTTAGAACTTGTTAATCCTGTGCAGTACCCAGTAATCGCCACTCCCCACCTTCCTCCTTCCAGTCTGGTACACACTAGCAGGGGTGTAACCTCTCTCTACTTCCATCTCCACAACTGAATCCCACAGCCTCCTTCTCTCCGGCTTCCTCCTGTGGGCTCTCTTCCCCTTTGTTACTTTGTGACTCAATCAATTCCTGGAGAATGCTGGCTCCAGGGTTCTACCTTGGTCCTATCTTTTTCTCACTGTCCTTCTTTCCCCAGGTAAGTCCCAGCCTCCATGGCTTCAGTTCCCACCCAGTGTGTGCCAGGTTTCCCACCAGCTCCTCCCTAAGCTCTAAACTCTGACACTCAGAGGCTCCTGCAATCCACCCCAGACCCCACAGATGCTGCAGCCTCAGCACATGAAAAACTTACATTTTTGGTGTTGTGGTACAGGAGGTTAAGCTGCTGCTTGTGTTGCTGGCATCCCATAGGGGCACTGGTTCTGGTCCTGAACGCTCCACTTCTGATCCATCTCCTTCTGATTGGTGTGTCTGGGAAAGCAACAGAAGACAGTCCCTGTGCTTGGACCTATCCTATTCCTGTGGGATACCAGGGCCCAGGCAGGACCCAGCCTTTACCATGACAGTCATTTGAGGAGTGACCCAGACGGTGGAAGAGTTTCCCTCACTCCCCCTCCCCAGAACTCTTTCAAATAAATGAAAATAAACCTAAATGCATAAATTAAATTAAAAAGCCCCATCATTCCCTTGTCCTAGAAACTGGTCCTTCTTCCACCCAGTCAGACCACGCACACGCTGCTTCATGCTTCTTTTAGTGTCATTTCTTTAAATTTTATTTTTGATAATGCTTACATAGTTGAGAAAGACGCATGCCCTTGTGGACCACTCATTGGGGTGGGAAGGGTCAAAGAACAGGGGAAAGTGGATGAGACTATTGTTTCTGATTTCCTTTTTCTTCTTCTTGTATCTGGGGAGGAGGGGAAAGAGAAGGGAAGAAGCCTCACCCAGCTGCCTAACCACATCAGTTCCCCCAGGGACGGGAAATGGCCACCCGATGTTATCCCAGGGTCCCTGATGGGGAACATGTTTTGCTGATATTGCTTAAGTGATTTAGATAGTCCTGAAATGCTATTGATTTTGTTGCTCCAAGGTTGAGGAAATCCTTCTAAGACCCATTGGCTGGCATAATCCATCCACCTTAGAGTCTCCATTCACCCAGATAATTGCTGTCAAAGCATGGCTGGGATAATTGTCCAGTTTATTCTGTTCTCCATCCTCTGCTGTGGTACTAGATGTCCTCTGCAGGGCCTAATGAATGGCTCTATCCCCCACGTGCATCTGGCATGCCATCCATTGCACCATCGTCAGCAACTGAGGAGGCCAGTACTGCCACTTCTGACCATCATTCTTGACGATCTGTTTCTTCCTTGCATCCTCCCAGGTGTGTGAGGTGATACACATTCCCTCTTGTACCTGAGTTACAGCCATGTCTGTCCAGTAGAGGCTGTGGGTTCTGGAGCTGGCCTGAGTGAAGACCTTGACATCAACCTACAAGCACCCTGCTGGGTCCCACTTACCTGCTGCAAACCTTCAGACTTGTTGGGTGTTAGCCTCATCACCTGTGAAGTGGGCATCATGAGAGGACCAACTGCATGGGCTGTGCTGTGGGGTGGAGTGAATCTGTATTTACTTTGTACTTGGGACAATGCCTCTCCCTGTTAGTACCTCCATTTCCTCCTAAGTGATTTCTATCCCTGTCAAGCCACCCTTCACTCTGCTTCTAGAATTTTCTTCCTAAACTAAAGCTGATGACTGTCTTTTGCTACTAAACCCTTCAAAAATCCTTGCTGCCCTGAGGTAAGGCAAAGTTCCTCAACTGGCCACATGGAACCCCCCCACACACACCTCACTACTCCCTGTCAGATCCACAGCCCTGCCATTCCAGGCCACATCACCAGGTCCCTTGAGTCCAGTCCTTGGGAGGCATGTGCAGGGCCCACAGGAGAGCTGGCATCCTTTGGTGATCTTGGCATTACATTACCCTTCGTCTCACACTGTGGTTCGAACATGAGTTGGCTCCTAAACCCGTGCAGGACTTTTACCCCCAAAGTCCTAGGTTAGTGGTGGTGCTAGGAGGGCAGAAACCTAACCCAATTATGGTGTTTGCAGATGAGGCCTATTGAGGTTGACTTGGTTGAGTTGTTAGGGCACAGCCCGACCATGACATCTTGGTGGCTTCAGAGGAGATGACACAGGTTCTGCCAGACACGCATGTCCTCTTGCCACACAGTGCCCTGTGTGGCCTAGGAACTCTGTTTCATCTGCATACCATCTGCCATTGCCATTGCTGCCTGCACCAGGAACCAGGCCATTAATTAGGGGCTGTCTGAACTTGAACTTGGACCTTGAAGTGTGAATGCCTGATGAACTTCTCTTTCTCCCATAAATAGCTTGTCTGAAACTTTTCTTTCCTGTTCTGCACTTGAAAGGCAGAATTGCAGAGAAAGAGAGAGAGAGAGAGAGAGAGAGAGAGAGAGAGTTCATGTGACAGTTGGGCCAGGTTGAAACCTGGAGTTTAAAACTCCATCCAAGTCTCCCATGTGGATGCAGGAGCCCAAGCACTTGGGTCATCTTCTGCCTCCCAGGTCATTAGCAGGAAGCTGGATTGGAAGTGGAACAGCTAGGACGTGAACAGGTTTGCATATGGTACACTGGTATAACAAATGGTGGCTTTACTCGCTATGCCACAGCACTGGCCCCCTGGTTTGGGTGGGTGATAGTGGCAAACCTGCCCCCCTGGTCTGGCCAGCTCCTCTCTGTGCACATGCAGCTCGGGATCTGCTTCCCGTCATGCATCTGGCTGCTTTCTGCCCTAATGGTAAGATTCTTGAAAGCACGGGTGGTTTTCTTTTTCTTCTCCTAGCCAGATAACAGTATCTGGTATATCATACCTGCTTCAGATAGTCCTTTGAGCACTGAATGAATTGACAAAGGCTGGAGGAACTTTTGGATGTGAGGGTATCCCATTGATATCTAACTCAGTTTCCCAGGACATGTGCAGCCCATGAAGGCACATACAGGTCACGTGAGTGGCAACATATCCACTACACAGGCTCAGGGTCAGGCTCCGTCTGCTTGCTGGGTCTTCAGATCCTGGGCAAGGTGCTCCCTAAAGATCTGTGGAATATCTTATTGGTACCTTTTCCACTCTCAGCCCCTGACCCCTTGCTAATGAGTCCTCTTCCAGGAGCATCTCACTCCTCTTTGCAAGAGGTCCCCATGAGAAAAGCAGTGGAGGATGGCACAGGTGTTGGGGTCCCTGTCACTCATGTGGGAGACTTGGAAGAAGTTTCTAACTTCCGGGTTCAGCCTGGCCAAGCCCTGGCCATTGTGGGTGGCTGTTGGACTGCACCTGCAGATGAATGATATTTCATCTTTGTCTCACCCTCTCTCTAACTCTGACTCTTAAACATAGAAATTCTTAAAAAAAAAAATAAAAGAAAAAAAGGAGCCTTGAGCAGTTTCCTCCCTCCCCCATCCCCAATCAGGTCAAATTCCATGCTATTACCTCTGCTCAAATATGATTTCTTTCCTTTTTTTCCTTCTTTTTTTTTTTTTTACACATCTGGAATTTATTAAGATTAGAATTCCATTTTGTATTAAACTAAAAAATTCACACACAACTTTAAGATTTATTTATTTATATTGGAAAGGCGGATATAGAGAGAGGAGGAGAGACAGAGAGGAAGATCTTCTGTCCGATGATTCACACCCCAAGCGGCCGCAATGGCTAGAGCTGAGCCAATCTGAAGCCAGGAGCCAGGAGCTCTTCTGGGTCTCCCACACAGGTGCAGGGTCCCAAGGCTTTGGGCCGTCCTCGACTGCTTTCCCGGGCCACAAGCAGGGAGCTGGATGGGAAGTGGGGCTGCTGGGATTAGAACCAGTGCCTATATGGGATCTCAGTATGTTCAAGGCGAGGACTTTAACCACTACGCTATCGCACCGGGCCCACATACAACTTAAAAAAAAATGTTTATGATACAATTCCATAAGTTCTGGGATTTTCTTTGTCCCCTCCCCAAACTCCTTCCCCTGCACTTGTCAAATATGATTACTTGTGCCCTAATCTGAGCCTGTGGGTGAGTCTGTTACCCGGAGGGATGGCTGCCCTGAAGGTTTCGGGAAACCCCCTGTGGGCTTGCCCCACCTTGCTCACGTGCAAATGAGAACTTCTCGGTTCTCTAGAGCAGAGGAGCTGTTGTGAAACTCTTGCTCCATGTAAAGGCAGCGGAAAGCAGCCCTGGGCCAGCCTTGAACCCCAGAGGCTGGCCCTGGGCTCTGGCTGGAGCCACAGGATTGCCCAACTGCTGTGGCATGATGCATGTCAGTCAGAGAACAGGGCAGAGGGCACATTTACCGGAGGGGCGCAGAGTGCCCCTGGAAGGGCAGCAAGCACTTTTTCCTGGCCCACACTTTTTCAGAAACCGTGTTCTCAGAAGTATCGCAGTTAGGGGCCCAGTGAATGACCTAGAACCGATATCATCTTTCTGGACAGTTCAGGGGAAATGATCTGATGCTGTGGTCAGCGCACTGTCTTTTCCACAGAACGAGAGCTGCAAAGAGAGCCCCTTCAGCTTAGCTCCTCCTCCAAGGGTGCTCAGCCTGGCAGTGACGAGGCCCCCAGAGGGGTTGGAGGGGAAGGAGAGGAAGGGCCAAGCCCTGTGCCTGGCCTTTTCTCCTGCCCACTGCAGCTGGGGCCCAGGCACTGCTGGAGCTCTCCCACATGGGCACCCAGAGTCAGCAATGTGCAGCTCTTCTGAGAAGTACAGGGGTGGGGGTGCTTCCCAATGCCTGCCCTGGATCCATGTGCCACATCCCCAGATCTGACCAAGTGTGAGCTGAAAATGTGGAAGCAGAAACTGCATCTATACGGATATTTTGTCTCATACACCTAACCAACACAGTAGGACGGCCACTTCCACAGCATGTGCGCTGTGTTCGGGCTCAGGCCAGACGCAGTTGAGGGGACGCACATGGAGGATGGCAGGAGGTGATGCGCAAATACAGTCCTGAGCCGACTCCATGCAGAATTGGACATCTGATTGTAATTTGGCCTGCCTGCCTTTCCTTTCTTCTTTCCTTCTTTTCTTCCTTCCTTCCTGGAAAGTGTTATTTATTTATACTTACTTGAAAGTCAGAGAGAGAGAGAGACAGAGATATCTTTCACCTGCTGATTCACTCCATACCCTCCCCACCCTGGATTTAAGGCTGGGCTGGACCAAAGCCAGAAGCTGGAAACTCCATCTGGTTCTCCCACATGGGTGACAGGTGCTTGATCCATCATCTGCTGCCCCACCTCCCCAGGATGCATTTCAGCAGGAAGTTGGATGGGACATGGAGGTGGCACTTCATTCTAGGTCCTCTGATAGGGGATGTTGGTGTTGCAAGTGGTGGTTGAATCTATTGCACCACAGCATCTTACCTTAACAGTAAAACATGTACCCAGTCTGTGACTCAGTCATCTTATCCTGGGTACTTCCTCAAGAGAAATGGACCTACAAAGAATGGTCCAGTGATGCTCACAGGAACCTCACTTGTAAAAGCCCCAAGCTGGAAGCCACTCAAAGGTCCAGCAAGAAGCAAGTGTATAAGCAAATTGCACAATACTACTCAGCAAAGAAAAGGAGTACCAATGGATGAGTCTCAAAATAATTATGCTGAGTGAATGACAGCGCAAAATACGAAGTGTAGGCTATGTAATTTTATGGAGAAAAGATGCTGGCAAAAGCACAGTCATCGCTGGTGATGTAGAGCAGGTGGTTGCTTGAGTGTGGAGGGCGGATCATGGGAAGGAGGACCCCAAGGGGCATAGGTTTGTTACTCTCCATGTAGCCATGGCCTCACGGCACCTGTGGAAGTGGAAGCTTAGCCATTGGAACACTTCAAGTGAGGTTTATTAGAACGTGATTAACAATACCCCAGCAAAGCTGCTAAACCCATACGGCATGAAAACCCCGGCTCCTGTGGCAGAGTTGGGCCAGAAAGCTTTGGAAGAGCCCGAGGTTGTTCAGAGTTGGATTTGCCTGGGCTCTGAAGGGTGGGCCCCACAGCCGGGTAAGAGAGCAGGTGGCTGGGTACCATGGGAGCTGCTGGGGTCCTGATCACACATAGGCATCTGTTGAAGCCATTGAAACCTGGAGCCTGCCCTCAGGTAAGGGCCTTGCCCTGTCACTGCCTCTTGACAGTAGCCCAGCTTCCCTTTCCCTCCCCCCAGCTCTGCCCCAATCCCCTTCCCCAATCTCCCCCATCACAGTCTGCCTGCATGACACTGCCTGAGCACAACAGCTTCCGGAACACAGGGCTGGAAAGAGCGGCAGGCAGGGAGTGTACAGGTGGGCTTGGCTGGTCTGGGTCAGGTGACGTGGGCGTCCACTTCCTGGGCGCAGGGTGGACAGCGGCACTCTCTCCTCCTGTAATCCCCAGAGCAGGCATGGCAAACCAGGCCACCGCAGAGCCTGTGGGCAGAGGGGTGCAGTCGGGCGGGGCACCTGTGCATGCGCTAGGGGAGGTTGTGGCATCCCCGCGTTTGAAGATCCACCTGCCTGTCCTTTCCTCCACTCCCAGTGGGATGGGTCCTGGCCTGTCTCAGGAGGTCTTCTGATGCCTAACCTGACTTGAGCTTTGAACTCCAAATGGCAGGGTTCAACCTGATGCCTCCGGGGTTGCAGAGGAAGGTGAGAGAAGCAGTTTCCCCCACCCAGGCGAGAAGTCCATCCACCCATCTCTGTGTTCATTCCATCTTCCCACTCCTCAGCAAGCCTCTTCCCACAACTGGACCTGGGTCATGCTGGGTATTGGAAGCTAAATGGGGTGAGGGCATGCCCAACTCTACATGTGCCTCCCTCCCTACTCCAGGGGAGGATGGAGACTGCTCCCGTGCCATCCCCTAATGTTACCTGCAGGGGTACCGCCGAGACAGACGGCCGAAGATCTTGCTGCAACCCACACAGCATCCTGGGGCCATTGCAGACATGTGCTGGAGCTTCTGCCACAGGTGATCCTTTTCCCTTGTTGGCGTGCAGATGGCGAGGTGTTCATGTGCATGGAGAACAGAGTGTAGCAGGGTAAAGGCATCCCCAGATGCAGGGACAGAGAGTAAAACATGATCCATGCATGGAGGTGCAAAGAGACAGCAACCAGGAGGACAACCAGCAAGACAGAGGTGCAGAGGCAAGAGAAAGAGGCAAGAGGTGTTGGAGAGTTGGACAGGGAGGCAGAGAGAGACACATGGACAAGCAGAGAAGTGGAGACACAAGTAGAGAAGTGGAGACACATGGAGAGAGAGAGAGAGAGAGAAAGAGAGAGAGAGATTGATTTACTCCCTGGATGGCCATAATGGCCAGTGCTAAGCCAGGTTGAAACCAGAAGCCAGCAGGGCCCCAAGTACTTGGGCCATCTTCTGATGCATTCCCAGGTTTATCGGTAGGGAGCATTTGGCCCACAAACTGGCATCCATATGGGATGTGAGTGTCACAGATGGCGGCCTTATCCACTATGCAACAACAAAAGTTCCAGCCCCACTGCTGATAAAGCTCCTTGCTAATATACCTGGGATAGCAGCAGAGGATGGCCCGAGTGTCTGGGACACTGCTACCTGCACGTGGGAGACCTGGATGAAGCTTCTGGCTCTGGCTTCTGCCTGACCTGGCCCTAGCAACTGCAGCCATTTCAGGAGTTGAACCAGTGGATGGAAGATCTCTCTCACTCTGACTTTTGAATGAATGGATAAATGAATGAATCTTTTTTAAAAAGAGACCGTGAGAGATGCACATGGGATCACTCATTCACACAAGGGACCAGTCATTCTGTAGTCCTTGGGAAGCTAAGTGGCATCACCCAACTTCACCCCAGCCCAGTGGAACCGTGGCACCATGTTTCAAGAGGGCTCCCTGATCCCAGAAGGCTCTAGATGTTCCTATTGCAGACCCCCTCCCCATTTTGCACATTGCCTAAGATGCTTTATTTGGCACTTCTTTCTGTTTACACTGGCAAGGTGTTTCTTGCATCCTTTTAGATGTCTCCTTGCTATTCCTGACATTTAAGCAATGTGTTTCTGTCCTTCCTTGTTCATTAGTGGAGAATATTTCCGTAGGGTGAGTTCTTTTGGTATCAGATGATTTGATTTTGTTTATTATCATTCTTCTGAACACCTTCTCTGTTCTCTTAGGGTAGCTACAGTGTAGTTATTTTTGGGGGTCCTTTGTTGATTTCCATTGTCATTTTACAAAATATACTCAGATATTTATGTCTATTAATTACAGACAGGATCTCACAATTCCCATTTTACATCACGAGGCTGGTATTTCTTCCCTTCAGCTATGGCCACCTATTCCTGCAGCATCCAACATAGCAGCCCAGCCTCATCTATGTGTGCCCAGTAGCTACCATTGCACAGTACAAATATGGAATATTTCATCTTCACAGAACATTCTATTGGGTTCTATTCTATACATAATGTTGCTAAGCTGGTAACATTCAGGTTTCTATAATTACAATGGTCCCTGTGCTTCATCTTTAGGTTCATTTAACAGTATTCATGAACAGTATGTGAGCTTTGATCTAGGGTATGTATAACTGTTGCTCCCCATACAGCCAAGACATGCTGTGTAAACATTTCCCTTCTCTAGGAGGCTTTTGTTTTTCTAGAAGTTTCTAAGTTCCCTTCTTGGCTGTTTGAAGTGATTTTCACACATTTTTTTCCACCACCGTGACCCCCGTTCCTTATCAATCATGTTTTCTCCTAGATCTCTTCCCTGGGGTTCTTTCCACTTCTGGTTCAGTCTAGCTGCCCAGTGTGCCCTGGGAATTCCCTTCTCTTATTGGTTAGAACTATTTTTTTTTCTGAATTCCACATCTTCTCCTTTCTTGGTTTACTTCCTTGTTTTCCTGGAACACATCCTCAACTAACTTCCTAAGAAAGTTTGTGTGGGAGGTAAATATTTGGGGACCTGTCTTTCCTCTATCACCTTCTCCACTTGCTTCACAGATTGGGTTAAAGCCAAACACACCATAGACTATCCACGTCTACTTCTTCCATAGCTGACCTGTCTTTTCCACTAGATACCTTTAGAAGATCACCTTATCTTTGTTTTACTAAAATTCCACAGTGGTGTAGCTGGGGGTGGGTTCTGCTTGTTCCACACTGCTCTCCACTCATTGTGCAGGACAGTCAGTGAAAGCCTTTACTCTGAACATCTGGGTCCTGCTCTAACAGTTATTTGCCTTTACTGTTTGTTATCTGGTAAGGTCCTGTTAGCTATTCCCTTTTGAGGAGAACGTTTGTCTGCTGGAGCAACCATTGCTACTCCTAGAACAGACTTCTTTTTTTTTTTTTCTCTGATCTTTCAGGCCTTCCATTCCCTCTGTGCTCATCCTTCTCTTTCAGCCCTTTTAATGATCTCTAAAATCATTCCAAGAATGTCACTCATCTTCAGGTCGTTGCTTTTCACAGCACCTTGCATCCTGGGATGGACCCTTTTTATCTGTCAGCTTTTACCTCTTGTTTTCACTTCTAGACTCTCTTAAAAGTCAGAGGTTCCTAAGCTGTCATTTCAGGAAGAAGAGAAAAGTAACAAAAGCCGATTGGATTTCCAACTATTGGTCTGGGCTGGTTGACATGTGGCATCCCTTTAGGGAGAGTGGTCATGGAGCTATGGGTCACAACACACCCCCAAGTGCCAGGACAAATTTCAGGGACAGCTAAGTGTTTTTGGAGAAGGTCCGTAACTGCTTGCTTGGGAGGTGGGCTGTTGCCTGCTGGCTGCTGGCTGCTGGCTGCTGGCTGCTTGGCAGCTCCCTTGTCAGGAGTGGGAGGCCGAGGGTGCAAGCTGCTTTCTAGTGACTTTTTCCTTCCTCTCCCTCCTGCCACCTGTCCTGGGATCTCTGGGTCCTGAGGCTCTATCTCGGACTTCATGCAATAGCTGTTTCATCTGTTTTCGAGGCGCCAGAAATTCGCTGAGATCTCTAATTTGTGCTTGGATCCTCTGTCTTTCTTTGGGTTTGGGTTATAAGTTTTGTTCTTTTATAGCCATGTTAGTGAGGTCTTATGAAGGGGAACAGATGGTGTGGTCAGATGTCAACCTCGTTGACTCACTTCTTCCTCCTCTCCTCTGCTCTCCTCTCCTCTCCTCTCCTCTCCTCTCCTCTCCTCTCCTCTCCTCTCCTCTCCTCTCCTCTCCTCTCCTCTCCTCTCCTCCCCTCTCCTCTCCTCTCCTCCTCTCCTCTCCTCTCTCCTCTCCTCTCCTCTCCTCCCTCCTCTCCTCTCCTCTCTCCTCTCCCTCCCCTCCCCTCCCCTCCCCTCCTCCTCCTCCCTCCCTCCCCTCCCCTCCCCTCCCTCCCCTCCCTCCCCTCCCCTCCCTCCCCTCCCTCCCCTCCCTCCCCTCCCCTCCCTCCCTCCTCCCCTCCCTCCCTCCCTCTCCTCTCCTCTCCTCTCCTCTCCCTTTCCTTTCTGCTCTCCTCCTTCCTTTCTCTCCCCTCCTCTCCTCCCTTCCTCTCCCTTTACCTCTCTTTTCCTCTCCCCTGTCTCCTTTCCTTTCCCCTCTCCTCCTCTCCCTTCTTTCCCCCTCCCCTCATCTCCACTCTTATTTCCTCTCCTTTCTGTTCAGGGTCACACCTTCCGTAACAGCCCTGCCTGGGACCTTGTGCTGCATTTCAGGGTTCCCTACCCAAAGACCTTGGATTCATTTCTTTGCACATGTCTCTCCTGATGAACAGTGAGGTTTAGGTGACTGTCATTTCCTGCTTTAATCCTGCTGCCACCTGAATATGCCTTTTATTGTCCCCTCCCTGTAACTGCAATTCTTCCTTCTTCCCAGGTCACAGTTCCTTGGTGAACTGCAGTCCTTCCGAGTAGTGACTTGTCCTCCGATTTCTCCATTGCTACTATTTTTTTAATCATTTGGGTTTTTGTAAATGATTTAGTTCCAGGTGCCCCCTCAGCAAATTGCCAATTTTCTCAGGATCTGGGTCCTTGGGATGAGATTTTTCTGAGCCCAGCAGAAGGCTGACAGCTCCTCCTGCTCTGTGCACCTCCCCACCCTTCAGGGCGCTTGGGGCTGTGCCCTAGACCCTGCGACCTGGGACAGCTGATATAGGCGAGGCCTGGAGGTCCACAGCTCTGAAGAAATTTTGAGGGCAGGTAGGTGTTAGCTCAGGATATTATCTCTTGGTTAAACCCTATATCTTTTTTTACTCCTCCTCCGCTTTGGCCCCGTGAGTCTTTCTCAATCTGTGGCTTCCTTTCTGTTCTAACCTTAATAGATATATGACTAGTGGCAGTGAGGTGTGGGTGGGGCTGTGTAGCATTGTCAGAGAGCTCTGTGTCATTCTATGCTGCGCATCCTTTGGGACCAGGTCGGCCCTCTAAACCCTAGTTTCCTCATCTGTGAAATGGGACTTCAGCAGAAAGTAAGTAAAAGAAGAAAGTGACTGCACATAAAAGTCTGGATCCTTGTTTAGCAGTTCTTAGTGGAGTAGAGGTTCCACATAGCAGGCTGCGTATCACTTCCCATCCACCCAAGCACTTCCTGCTCCCTCCACCTCTACCCCGTTCCCATCCCATTCCTTACTGGATCAGCTCCATCACCCGCCTCTTCAGGGCCCGGACCAGGTCCCGCTGCTCTCCGAGTTCCTCCTCAAACCGGGCAGCCCTCCGCTCGGCCTCCTGTTGCTTCTGCTCCTGCTCTGCCCGGAGCCGGCTACCCTCTTCGCAACACCTGGGCCCAGAAGGAAGACATTGTTCTCAGGGACGAACTCAGCAATGGGCCCTGACCCGGGCGGGCCTCTGCCCCTTAGGGAATCCCTACATATGGAGCACACCCCCCCCCACACCACCATAATACATAGGATATGCACATACAACCACACATATAGGTAATGCCAATATACACACAACACACATAATGCATACACATTCATGATGGATAACGCAACACACATCTAATGTTGTGTATGACCCGACCTACCACGCACCCAAGGTGCGTTTTACAGATCACACAGACTTGTGTGTTGGCACCTATAGCCTAACTCCTTAGCCATCATTCGAGAATGCATATGTGGAGGAGGCAAGCCAAGGTTTCTATTTCCCCACTTTCTTTCATCTGAAGCATTTATTTGAGTCAGAGAACTGAGAGAGAGAGAGAGAAAGAGAAAGAAACTCCACTCTAGTAAGACTGAAGCTGGGAGCTGGGAACCCAATCCAAGTCTCCCACGAGAGTGCCAGGACTCCAATTACTTGAGCCATCTGCTCAAGCAGGAAACTAAGCCAGGTTCTCTGATATGAGACATGGCCATCCTTCCTCCCTCTCTCCTGCCTTGCTTCCCTCCCCATGCTCTCCTTCCTTCTCTCTCGTTTCTGTTCTAATGTGTGCTTTTCTTGAAAGAAATGCTCACCCTCAGGGCAGCTCCCAGGAGAGAAGGCGGATGCCTGGGAAGCCTGTGGGGATGATGCTCAGCTGGAAATAAGGAGTGTGAGAGAGCAGCATTGTAGAATTTGGGTTCTTGCTTTAAGATATTTTTTTAAATTGTGTTTCATTGCTTTGTCAACTAAGTCATATGAAAAGTCATATGAAAAATATAGTTTTGCCCAGTTTTTGGTTTTGAGCTTGGAACCTTTTCAACTCTATTCTTGCCTTTTTTGGGGGCGGGGGTCTTCAGTGGTTTTTCTAGAACATTCCAAGAAAAGTATTGGGCTGGAGAGAGAGAAAACCCAGTCCCAGGTCCCAACCTTGTAACCTTGTACTTGGGGGGCTTGGTCAGGAGAGTGCCATGATGGCAGGTGAGCACCTGGGAGGGTCTAGGCTCTCAGGCATGTGTGTGTGTGTGTGTGTGTGTGTGTGTGTGTGTGTGTGTGTGTATCTGTATGCACATGGCCTGGACTTGAGCATGCTGGGAAGGCTAGAGATTTAGGGGAGGAAGGGTTGGACACCAATTCCAAGGCTTAATTTTTCAAATACCACCATTTAGCCTGTGGCAGAGTGGAGAGCTGAGTGGGCCTAAAGCCAAATCAACCACAACCAGCCACTGGAGTCCCACAATGGCTAGGTCAGGCAGGCACTGGAACTGTGTTTTGACTCTTTTTTTTTTTTTAATATTTTTTAAAGATTTATTTATTTTTATTGCAAAATCAGATATACAGAGAAGAGAGACAGAGAGGAAGATCTTCTGTCCATTGATTTACTCCCCAGGTGGGCCGTAATGGCTAGAGCTGAGCTGATCTGAAGCTGGGAGCTCAGAGCCTCTTTCAGGTCTCCCACATGGGTGCAGGGTCCCAAGGCTTTGGGCCGTCCTTGACTGCTTTCCCAGGCCACAGGCAGGGGCCTGGATGGGAAGCAGGGCTGCCAGGATTAGAACCAGCACTCCTATGGGATCCCTGCCTGTGCAAGGCGAGAACTTTAGCTGTTAGGCTACTGTGCTGGGTCCAGTGTTTTGACTCTTAAGGAACACTCTGGAAGTTCCACAAGCCAGTTCACCGAGTTGGTGATCTGAGTCCTTACGTGACCCCTGTGGAGCAGGTGGGTCTTTGTGGCATACAGGGACACTTGTGCTGTGTACCGATGGTTATTTTTGCCATCTCACACTTTGCTGTAGGCCGGGCCATGGTCTCTGGTGATGCCTGGCACCAGTGCCCAGCAGGCAACAATTGAGAAAGTGTTGCTGTGTGGGAGTTTGGGGTAGTGGGCATATATCATCTACCTGGTTCCCAACACTTCTTGAATGTATTATGGCTGGCCTGATCTTGGCTTGGAGGTTTTAGTAGAGGCAGAAGAAATGCACCTGCTTGGAGAACAGCCCTATCAGGAGCCTGAGCTGGAATGAAGAGACTTGGAAGTCTCTGCTGTGGCCAATCAGGAAGATGCAACCAGGAGGGGAGGCCACAGTCTGAGGGCCATGGAGCTGGTAGAAGCTTCTCTGAGTCTCAATGTCAAGGCCACGTTCACAGCCCTCTCCAGGCCTGCCCTTGGAGTCTGTGTCTGGCTTGGGCTCAACATGGAGTGGCTTCTGCTTTGCCCACCTCTGTCTGTGCTTCACACTGTGGCCAGAGTGAGCCCTTACAAACCTTGGTCAGGCAGGGAGACTCAGCGCCCCTTGCTCTTGCATTTCTTTGTGCCTGGAACACTTTTCCACCCAGTATCCCATGGCCAGCTTCTTGCTGCCTTCAGAAGTTCTTCCTACAGACGACAGGTTTTCAGAGAGGTCCTCCTGGACTGCGCTATGTTATAGAAGCAATCTCCCACCATGTGCTTCCCTGCCTTATCTTTTGTCTTTATACCTGAACCCTGTCTGGCTGTTCCCTGTGCTACTGACCTCCCTAGAATGTCAACTGTGTTGCCAGGAGTGTTTCCTGCAGATCCAGCAAGCCTGGCTCTGAGTCTTTCTAAAACAACCACGGAGTCTACAAGACAGGGCCAGCCCCGTCAGAGGGAGCAGCCTGGGGCAGGGAAGTTTCCTTGGAGCCTCCCAGCATCTGCTCCGTTCCCATCTCGTTCCCACAGCAGGCACATTCATGGAGGGCTGTGTCATCGGAACCTTATATGATCTGAGCAGCAGGTGCGACTGAGTGTTCAGCAGGAAGACAGGTCTGGAAAGCCTTCTGGGTTAGCGTCTAACCTCCTGAGCCTTTCTCATCAGCAGATTTCCCAATGATTCAGCCTGAATCATGGCTCCCTGAGCTCTGCTAGGGTTTGCACTGGGGCCTCCTGGGCCTGAGGCAGGTACTAGCCACAAGGAAGAGAGACAGAGGCAGGCGGGCGGGCAGACCGAGGCACAGACTGAGTCACGTTAAAGAGGACCTTTGTGTGGCAGGGGCAGGGGTATTGAGAAAAAAAGAAGCCAAGACACCAGGAAATGAAAAGGTAAAGATGGAGACAGACAGTGCACCCAGGGACCTTGAGCCCAGTGTGACAATGGGAATGCTGAGGGGGAGGGACAGATGGGGTGATCGAGTCACTCTCTGTGTCTCTGAGTTTTGCAACCAAGTGCTACTGAAAATATTCAGAAAGTGAAACCATAGCTTTCATAGTGAACAAAATTCTCTAAGCAATACAAGGAACAACTATTTACACAGCATTGCCTTTGGACGAGGTACCATAAGTAACCCAGAGGGGATTTAAAGCACACAGAGGGACTGGTGCCATGGCCTAGTGGCTAAATCCTTGCCTTGCACACCCAGGATCCCATATCCATGCTGGTTCATGTCCCAGATGCTCCACTTCCCATCCAGCTCCATGCTTGTGGCCTGGGAAAGCAGTGGAGGATGACCCAAAGCCTTGGGACCCTGCACCTGCGTGGGAGACCAAGAGGACGCTCCTGTTTCTTGGCTTTGGGTCGGCTTAGCGCCAGCCAATGTAGTCACTTGGAGAGTTAAACAGCAGATGGAAGATCTTTATCTTTGTCTCTCCTTCTCTCTGTAAATCTGCCTTTCCAATAAAAATAAATATTTTTTTTTGAAAGAAAAGTGCACAGGGAGCGGGTGTCTGAATTAGTGGATAAGACATCGCTTTGGACACCTGCAGCCCATGACGGAATGCCCTGCGGCTCTGCTCTTGCTTCCTGCTAAGGCACACCCTGGAGGAGGTAGCAGGTGAAGTAGCTGGATCCCTGGGAGACCTGAATGGAATTCCCATCTTCCCAGGTTTGACTCGGTCCAACTTCAGCCAAGGTGAGTATTTGGGCCAGTAAACCAAGCAACTGGGAACCTTCTGCTTGCTTGCTTGCTTGCCTAGCTGGATCTCTGCCTCTCAAATAAGAATTAAAAAATAAATTATATGGGAGAGTGTACACAGGTAAGAGGCAAATACCATGCCATGTTTTTATAAGGCACTTGAGTACCTGCAGAGTGTGGATCCCTCCAGCTACCATGGGAGGCCTGGGCGGGGCACTCAGGATCCTGGCTGCAGACTCCAAGTTAACTGATGGCTCTGGCGTCCCCTGCAGGGGGTGAGTATCTGTTCTGCTGCCAGCTGATGTTGATGAACTGCCGAGCCTCTCTGAGACTCCACTGCCTCATCTCCAAACTGCAGGTTCTCGTGGAACCCATCTCACAAAGAAGTCAATGAACAATGCGCAGGACAGAGCAAATTCTTAGGACATGATGGCCACGGTCATGATCATCGGAAGGGAGGAAGGCAGACAATGCAACAGGGAGTCAGGAGCTGGAGACGAAGTGTGGCATGGTGGGAGAGGGGGCAGGGTGGAAAGAAAAGATAGAGAGCAGCAAGGTGGGGAGGTGGATAGCGGAGGGAAGGCAAGCAGGGAGCAGGAAAGGAACCCCTCCTGGGGCTGCTGGAGGAAGCGTGGAGTTGTCAAGAAAGAGCAAAGTCCTTGTGATCCAGAACAGCGCTCCACTGGCCCAGCATCTGAAGCTGTGCCTGCCTGAGGGAGCCTCTCCCAAGGCCGTGCTGGCCACACAGGGAATGGCAGATGGGCGTTGCCAAGGTTACCTGTGGAGCTGCTCCTGCAGTGCTTGCAGCTCCCCCTCCTGCTCCTTCAGCAGCTGCTCCTGGGCCTGGGCCTGTTCTTGGGCCTGCTGGAGTTGGTGTTGGAGCCTCTGGGAGGGGAGGAGGAAGGAGGAAAGGGAAGGTTGAGTGAGGAGGGCCAAGGTCTCAGGTCTGGGGTGAATCAGACCAGACAAACCAGACAAACACCTCTGGGAGACCCTGAGCTGTGGCCTTGGCTGCAGGACAGCACAGAGGCACTGGAATTCCTGGTTCTGTGCCAGACCTGGCTTCCAGGTGAGTCTGAAGCTACCATGTCCTCCTGCACTGCAGTAGGTGGTTACAGATCTTGAGGGGTGTGGTTCCTTGGGGGTGAGTTTCTGATGGGGGAGGAAGCTGAGGAGGGCTTGGGAACTGTCTTGGGTGATCTTCAGAATGATGAAGAGAGGTTGCAACAGAAGAGCTTAGAAACAGGGGACAGACCTGCTGGGTCCATGGATATGGATCTCAAGAACAAGTGATGGCCCAGAAGAGCTACTGGGAAGAGATTTCAAATCCCAAGGCCCACAGGAGCCAGGCAGGAAGCACTGGCTATTAAAGTGGGCCAAGTATGGGGCAGTATGGAGAGGTGGGAACTGCGCTGACCTGAGCAAGGTCTGGCTTTCAAAATGCGTTCCAGTTGCACAGACAGGATGACAGCAGTGAGAGGGGAAAGCAGACAGATGAGACAACGTACTTGTTCTCACCTGGACCACCGCATGCAGGGACTCCTCTGGCTGCGCTGCCCTCCAGGCCACGCTGGTCACTTCTATTTGTTCTGGCTCTTTCTCTGCAGTAGAGTCTTCCTGTGCTGCCCACCTGGGCAGGACCCCTGCTTCCTCCTCCCTAAGCCCCTCCCTCTTCTGCTTGCTCCCCGATGTGGCTTGCTCTGCTGACCCCCTGGGGTCAGAAACCAGCAGCCTCTGGACAGGACCCCTTTCTGCTTCCCCCTCCGGAGTCCCCTGGGTCACTCTTCCACCCTCAGCACCTGGCAGAGTCCCTATGCCTTCAGCTTGTACCTGGATGCTGGCTGCTGAGCACTCTGGGAAGACCTCAGCCACGGTGACCCCCTCCCCCTGGTCTAGTGCAAGTTCCCCTTGTTCTGGTTCCCACGTGGTGTGGGGGAAGCTGAGGCCCCCAGTATCTTCTCTCTTCTTTTCCAAAATAAGGGGAAGCATCCCAGGTGGCCTTGCTCTCGGGGGTCCAGCCAACGGGACATCCCTGGCGGCATCTCTCGGATGGCTGGCATGACTGGTGTGTGGCTCTTCTGGTGGGACTCCTTGGGGGTCTCCCAGTGTGGCTGGAATCTGCAGAGAAGTCCCCATGCCTGTCACTTCTCTTGGCCTGATGCACCTAAGTGGCCACAGCTCGACCCTGCAGGCTGGCTATGGATGTGGCTCCCCAAGCCTGGCCACTGGACACGTTGGTTTACCAGCACCCCAGGGGACATGAGCTCCAGCAGGTGCAGGAGCAGCCGTGGCTCTCCACATCCTTGCCTCCAGCCCATGTCCCTCTTCCTCCTTCACCTGAGTCTTACACATTGGCCCAGGGTCCCCCTGAGGTTCCTCTTGCATCTGTCTGTACATCCTCCACCCTGAACTTGACTTTGCATTTCCATTTGTTCACCTGCAAGGTGGGAAGGCCACTACTTGGTTTGTGGGATTGTGGTAAAGGTGCAGACAGGCTGAGGGAAGGCCACTCTGCACTCCTGAGCCTCTATCCATGTCTCCACCACTGGATGTCACAGGTACTAAAGGAGCAGTGTCTGCACAGACCCTGAACTCCTGCAGATCACAGCCTTAATCCCTACCAGCTGTGCCTGCCAGCTGGTGGAGCACAACATGGGGCCCAAGGCAGCCCAGGTGTTGGCTCACTTTATACTCAGTCACTCTATGAGGCAGGGCAAGGAGTCTGCCCAAAAACTGTGTTTAGGAAGGACAGAGCTGGGATTTGCTGCTAGAAATCTGGCTTTCCAGTCACTCCCTGAATGAGCCAGACAGGTGCCAAGTGTCCAGTGGTATGTGTGTGTGTGTAGGGGGGTACTCATATAGGCTGTCTTTCTCCCTCATCTGTCACCCTCCCCAGCATCACCTCCTCCATAACTCCGGGGGTCCCAGAGTACCTGCAGGTGCTCCTCCCTCCCCCACACTGCAGCTGCCAGGCCTTCTGGGCATCTTTGTGAAGTTGGGCCAACACTTGTGGCATCCTCCAGGGAGCAGCCCAGTTCCTGCTCAGCTTGGGGCCTGGGCAGGCACACAGGCAGGAGGCATAGGCAGGAGGCCACCGAGATGAGAGCATAGAGGACACGGGGGTAGTCCTGGTCACCTCCTGGGGGCAACTTGCTTCCAGTTGCACCTCTTGGTGGCCCTTCTTGGCCTTCCTAGGTCTTCTTCTCTGGATTGGATGGGAATTGGAGCAGCGGGACCTGCAAGTGGGGGAGGCGGCAGGACCCTGGGTGTCCTTTCCAGGGGGATCTAGCCCACAGACAGTGTGTACCCCACCTTTGGTATCACTGTCCTTCTGGCCTCCATGCTGCCTCAGGCCCTCATGCATCCTATTCTCCATCCTCCCATATGTTTGTCCCTCTATCCACACAACCCACCCTGGCTCCCCATCCAACACATCTTTAGCAACTGTATTAACCACGGTAGCCTGGGTAGCAGGAGCTTGCGCTGGCAGACAACACAGGCTGTGGAAGTGGTGGATTGGTGCTCCATAAGCGAGCAGGCAGGGAGGCATGGATGGGGATGGAGTCCAAGCACTTAGAGCTGGCTCAGGCAGCATAACAGGAAAGGAAAGCTGGTAGTGGGAAGGGGCTTCTCTCCACTCACTCAGAGAACATGGGCCAGGCCCCATCCAGATCTGATCGCTGCAGGTCCAAGTCGAAGGTCACTCCATTGAGAGCATAGAGAGAGTCCAGGATGTCTTCCTGGAGTTCAGGACACAACAGGGGGCTCCGGGGGCCATACCACTCCCTGTGTTAACAACAACCAGCCTGCTTGATCTTGGATCTGCTGTTCTCGCCACCCTCATGCATGCCATGACTGGGAGCAAGCTATCCTCAGGAGGTGACCAGTACTGCCCCATGTGTCTTGTCTTTCCTGATTATTGCTTCCAGATTCACTCCCAGCCAGCCATCAGATTGGGATGAGATTGGGGGGGGAGGGAGACTCTTCCACAAAGGCTTAGAGGGTGTCCATGGGAAGATGTCCCTGCCACAGCACCTGGTAAGCTCGGGGTTCAACAGGCAGAGCTGCAGAGACTCAGCCAGCTGTCCATGGGCCAGGCAGAAGCGGATGAAGGCACGGCCTTTTCCCAGCGAGCTCTTTAGCTGCAGGCACATGGGGAGGGGAAGGTGTAGAGACAGGCTGACATCAGGGTGAGTGAGCTCAGCCAGAGCAAAGAGACAACGAGGGCATGGGGCTGGAAGGCTATGTGCAGAAAGTGAGGCTGGAGGGTGCCAGGTCTAGAGAGGGACCAGCCAGGGGCCTGGCGCAGGCCTATGTTCCCGCCCCCAACCACCACCCTCCCCGCCCCCCCGAGGTCAGCCTTCCTAGCACTTGCCCCCAGCATACCTTGCCCTGTGTGCTTACGAAGTGGATCGGCTCCGTGTCACCACGCTGCCGCTGCAGGGCTGCCAAGACGAAGTCCCAGTAATCCTTCCGAGGTCCCAGGAAGCTCTTCTGCTCTCTCTGGTCAAACTGGGATCAAGAAAATGGAAAGGGAAGTGTTGGAATGCTCCCTTCTAGTGCCCCACCTTGCACCCCAGCACACAGAGTGGGCTTGGATTAGAGGAAAGGGCTGGACGCGCACACACAGACCCTGGCTCTGTGCTTGCTGGCTCAGTACCCTGCAGCCAGTTGGTCAGCCAGGGTGAGCCTTGGAGTCCTCATGCATTTTCATCCACACAAAAAGACTCATTGAGCACTTGTCACGCACCAACGTCTGCTCTAAGCTCTGGGGGCACAGCCATGAAAAAGCTGACCTTATCCCCACCTTGGCAGGGGTGACTGTGAGCTGACTAAATGAGTAGAAGACATAATACGTTAGACAATGATGACTGTAGTAGGGAAAACAAAGAGTGATGCCTATGTGCCTGTGCATACTGTGTCTAAAATTTAGATGTGGGGCCATCATCGTGGCTCGAAGGGTTAAGTCACCCCCTATGATGTTGGCATCCCAAATGGGCATTGGTTCAATTCCTGGCTGCTCCCTGTTAATACAAGTGGGAAGGCAACGGAAGATGGCCCATGTACTTGGATCCCAGTCACTCATATAGGAGACTTAGTACTCTGGTTTCTCTTCAGATCGTACAAATCTTTTGCCTTTTACTCGTATAGGAGTCTTGGATGGAGTTCCTTGGTCCTGGCTTCAGCCTGGTCCAGCCCCAATCATCCTAGTCTTTCAGACAGTGAACCAGCCAATGGAAAATCCCTTTCTGTCTCTCCCTCTCTCACTGTAACTATGATTCCAATACAGAATTTTCTTTAAAAGATGTATTTACTTTTATTGGAAAGGTAGCTATACAGAGAGGAGAGACAGAGAGAAAGATCTTCCATCTCTGCTGGTTCACTCCCCAAGTGGCTGCAATGGATGGAACTGAGCTGATCTGAACCCAGGATCCAGGAGCTCTTCCAGGTTTCCCATGTGGGTGCAGGGTCTCAAGGCTTTGGGCCGTCCTCTACTGCTTTCCCAGGCCACAAGCAGAGAGCTGGATGGGAAGTGGGGGCAGCTTGGACACAGGAAGATCGATCACAAGGGGTGAAATCAGAGAACCAGAAAGGGTATGTGTGTGTATGAATAAAAGGCACAGCCTGGCACATATTAAGTGCTCAATAAAAGCTAGTGATCATTATGATCTGGATAAAGATTAGAAGCCAGAGGGCCACCCCTTCCCAGGCTGCAAGCACAGCCTGCAGGAGGGAAGGGAGGCCTCAGGGAGGAAGGGGGCAGTGCAGAGCCCCCAAAGGCTGCCAGTGGCCCTCGGTCTGCCCACTGGCTCCCCAGGGCCCCACCTGCAGCAGGCGTTCCAGGCAGCCACAGAGCCGGTGCAGCTCAGCACTGGTGTCAGTTACGGGCCCCAGGCCGTCCCCATAGTCCTGCAGGATGGCACAGACGGCAGCTGTGGGGAGAAGGTGCATGTCAGCCACCACTGGGAGGCCAGCCAGTGAGAGAGGGTGCCTCCCAGAAACCCTCACGGCACACACACACTCACCTCTCAGATCTTTGGTCACCTGTAGGATGTTCCTATCCTCTGCCATGGGTGGCAGGAAACCACGGGATTCCCCACGTCCAACCAGAGAAGTCTCTCTGGATTCTGTCTCCCCTGTATAAGGAGGAATCAGAGCCCAGAGAGGTCATGTGACTTCTTGAGGGTCACACAGCAAGTTTGCTAGTGGTGGGGCGAAGACCCCCAGGGTTGCTGGGTGGAGACGGTGGTGTGGTCTCCACATTGGAGCTGTCCCTGGAAACCAGTCACTCTGCACCTTTCTTGTGTCACATCCTCGGATGAATCTGTGCTCACAGGAACCCCAGGAGGTCATGAACCCCATGCTGCATGGGGGAAACTGGCATAGAGAGGGAAGCCTTGGGTCTGACGTCACAAAGCTGTAGATGTGGGAGTCCGAATTTGCACGCTGGTGGGTGTATCTCCTAGGGCCTGGATCTGCTGGAGGTGGGGGTGCGGTGGGAAAGGCTGGGCCATGGAGCGCTCTCAGACTTGGCTGAGCAAGGGCATACACTCACCCTTTCCCTGGCACCAGCTGAGTGGAAAATGCCTGCTGTTTGAAGGGAAAGGGTGAGGGGGCAGAAGTAAAGCAAGACCCACATCTGGGACTGAGCCCCATGCTGGACGTCTTGGAGCCAGCGGCCTGAGATTGAGCTTGTCCTCCTCCCAGGGGAATCTCCTAGAGCCTGGGGGCTGGTGGGCTTTGTCCGAGATCCTGGAGTCAACAGGAGGTATGGAGTGGAGAGCTCAGCACCCAGCAGCCCCTCCCCAGCCCAGGCAGTGACTGCTGGAGTTGGAAGGTGAGGGTGGCAATGCTGAAGTGGGGTGCAGATGGAAGGGAAGGCAGAGGATACAGAGGTAGGGTTGGGGTGCAGAGATCAAAAGATTGGGGGATCAGGTGACCTGGGTTTCCATTCTGGCCACTCACTTTCCGTGGGTGTAGTCTTTCCATTTGTACCCCAAAGGGGTGATACTCCGAGTCTCTGTCACACCTTGTACCCACAGCCACATGGACCCTCCTGGTCCACCACTCCAGCCCCTCCCTGTTTGATAACCCTCTTCTTTCTGCTCCTGGCTGTCATTGTCCCCTTTCCCAGCCATCCCTATTACCCAGGGGTCTCTCTGCCACTTACCTGGGAAGGCCTGGCCGCCTGGGTGCTGCAGAAGCTGGGCTGGGCAGCCAGGGCTTGTCCCTAGAGACTGTGTGCCCTGCAGGGCATGTCTTCTGCCGTTGCTTCCTGGGGAGGTGACTCAACTTTCCCCCAAGACTGGGAGGAGCAACGTGACAGAGGCAGGATCAAGGGCACTGGGGCAGAACCATAGGGTGGGGAGTGAGGGATGCTCCCCAAAGGCACACCCAGCTCAGGGTCACGTGTAGACAGAACCGACTCCTCCCTGCGGCAGCCCAGCCAGTTTCAGGTTCCTTCTCTTGGCGTCCCTTGCTGTTGACTTTCTCCCAGCTCACCGCCAGGTGGCACTAAGGGGCTGAGAAGTTCCCATCCAGTCCTTGGGGTTGTCTCCACGCTGTCACTTGTGTCCAGGAGCGCAGGTGGGGCGGGAAGAACAAGGGTCCCGCTATTAGTTCTCCCTCCTCCTCTCCACCGCAGCCTGCCCGGGGTTCCCCGTGAGCGCAGGTGACCAGTGTTCTTGACTTGAGGCCAGGGATGGAAAGTGAGCCCTCTTGGTGAGCTACCTCTTGCAGTAAACCTGCCCAGGTGGGCTGTCCAGGTGGATCTCAGTGCCCCGACTCTGGCTTTGCTCTGCCTTCTTGAGACTGGAGGGGGCGGTTATTTCCCCCCACCCCCGGGTCCCCGCTTTCCTAGGCAGTGTTACCTCAGGGGGCCAGGTCTGGGGGCAGAGAGGCGGGAATCAGGCACCTGCCAAGTCCGAGCGCATGCGTCGACGCCCACGTCCCCTCTCCCAGCCTGTGGCCGGTGCAGAGGATCCAACCCCACCTCTCTCGCCCGTGTCCCCGTCTGCCCGACTCTGTCTCTCTGTCTCGTCGCTTTATCTGCCCCGGTCGCGCTCCGGGACCCCGCCGCCGCCCCTCCCCGCGTCCCTGGCCTCCCTCGTCACTGGCTGCCTCCCGCCGCCCATGTCACCGCCCCTCGGCAGGGCCCGCACTCCCTTGCTTCCTGGCGGTGCGGCCCACAGCTCGCGGACTCCGGCGGGGGCCGGGCCGGGGGCGTCACCGCTGCCCTTCCGACGTCCTCGCAGGTGCCCTGGGCAGGGCTGTGGCCAAGGCGGGGGGCGGGTCTGTCCCCCACGCCTGACGAGGCTGGGGCCGCCACGTCCCCGCCCCGCACCCCCTCCTCGCCCGATGGGCTGCACCGTGAGTTTGGTGTGCTGCGAGGCTCTGGAGCCCGGGCCCCGCGGCGTTCCCCAGCCCCGTGGGAGCCCCCAGGTGCCTGCGCGGGCCGCGCACGGGGACCCAGGGTGGTCAGCCGGCGGCTCTGAGAGGAGGCGGCCGCTGCTTCAGGTAGGGCACAGCAAGAGTGGGAGTTGGGGGGGAGCGGTTGGGGAAGACGCCTCCACTAGGAGCCAGGCGCTGGCAGAGCCCTGCTCACCTGAGACAGGTAAGCAGCTCAGCCGGGAAAGCGCCGGTTAGACTTGGAAAGCAGCAGCTTAGGCTGGGTTGGAGCAGGTCCTGGGCAATGGCACAGGGTCAACGTTAGGCCTTACCTGGACTGCCCGTGCCTTTGCAGGAGGCAGGGGTGGCCCCTTAGAGGGCATGCAGACCAGGTGAGGGTGAGGAACCATGCAGAGTGGGCAGGACTGGATAGCCCCATTTCTCTTGCCCAAGGGGAGGGCTGTCCTCATTGACCAGGGTCCTATGGCCAGGAGGGAAGGGTCTTTTGCAGCCAGCCTGGCCCCTCCCAGGACTGTTGGAGCAGGGGTGACTCCTGAACCAGCATCCCTGCATTCCCTCTGGGTACGTCTTGAAGTCCTGGGGAATGTGAGAGTGACCCAGGCTGGGGACAGGCTGGACTGGGAGGCAGGTGTTTGTTCTGAATGAAGTGTGTTGGGACCTGAAATGGACCTGGACATGGGATGTCTCCGAGGGGAGGAGGAGGAGGAAACAGAGCAGGAGGAGAAACTTGGGGGTCGCAGGGCTGGTTAACTCTGCCAGGAACTCCCTGCACCAATTAGCCCACTTTCTACCGGGGACTCAGGAGGCAGCACCCTCCCCGGGTTTGTGGGCTGGATGAGGCTGAGGTCTTACCTCTTCCAACTGAAACTAACAGAGGACGGGCTAGCTCAGCGCACCCTGCGGCCACCTCCCTCCCAGCTCTCTCCCTGGCTGGTGGAGCCACCAACAGGTGCCTGGGTCCCAGAGCACTTCGCACAGCTCACGCACTTCGCACAGCTCATGGGAAAATGGAATTCAGAGCAGCTGATCTGAGTATGAATGTTTTGGATATGCTTACGCTGGGAAAAAACTGCACAGATCTCAATTCTTCTCACCAAAATCAACTTATCTTTTCATTCCATTTTTTCCTGAAGTCTGTGTCTATGTGCATGTGGATCCCTCTGCCCCCACGTGACCGCATATTTGAGGTTCTGTCTCACAGTGCCAGGCATGGGGTGGGGCACTTGTAACCTGAACCCTCAACCCTGGACAGCTCCGGCCCCAGCCAGCACTCAGGGGTCCATGGTGGAGAGGCACAGGGGCAAAGAGAATAGCTGTCGCCTGAGTCCCCGCAGTGGCTCATGTGCCAGTTGTGATTCTGATGGGGCCCTGGCGGGTGGAGGAGGAGTAGTGTATGAATTGGGCATCCCAGACCCCTACTTCTTGGTTCAGAGAACTGGGGGTGACCTGGTACCACCCATCCCAGAGTCAACAGGATGCTCCCATGCCCCCACGCACTGTCCTCTTTGCTTGGCAAGCTTGGGGTGGTGGTGAGGGAGTAGTGAGCCCACATTCTCCCTTCCTTATCTCCTCTTATCCTAGATCCCTTGAAGCCACAGCCTTAGCTCCATCCCACTTCTCCCTTGAGGAGTCTGAGCTCATTTCCTAGTATTTTGGGGGGAGCGTTGGTGCCCAGAATCCTGAGAGGGGCCTTGTATTCCCTCTCACCTCCCTGGCTTGGCACAGCTTATGCCAGCTGGGCAGGGGGGCATTTATTCCAGCTCGCTTTCTCTCCTGCGTCTCAGACTTGTCCAAGTCTTCTTGCTGAATGATGTGACCCCAGGACTGAATGAGCCCCACCTCTGCCCGTGCTCCTGTCCTCCCTGAAGCCCACTTTGACATGGTGGGGTGCCTGTTGGCACAGGAAGGTGATATGCAGGATCCAGTGTGTGTGTGCAGTCAGGGCTGAGGCAGAGCAAGGGTCAGCAGCAGGACTTGAAGAGGGAGTGATGAAGACGCTGGGAACAGGAGGGGGAGGGGCGTGCGACAGTAGTGATGGTAGGGACAGGGAGGGGGCTGCATGTCTGTCTGCATTTGGATGAGCTGCTTCTGAGTGGCTCTTGGAGACAGCCTGGAGCTTGTCTGTGACTCACGCCTTCCTGTATCGGTGCAGATAATAAACCTCCAGCCCAGTCCACGTGCTCTGGATTGGGTGGGGGCCGCTGAGGGGTGTTGCTGATGGTAGCTTACATCCATCTTCTCAGGCCCTGTGCAGGGAGTGGCTGGGGCAGGAGCAGGGACTGGAGCAGCCGGCCTCACGCAGGAGGCTGATAGCAGCTCTAGGGATGCAGGATAAGCATCTCTTGGGCTCTCAGCTCCCCCTACCCTACGGAGCCAGGGCAGCTGGACTGGCAGCAGGGCACTCTTCCCCCCCACCCCCATCCCAGTCCTGCTGTGGACACTGCCACTCCTGTCACGGTCCTCACCCTAAGCCACCGACTCTATTCTCTTCCTCACCTCCCCAGTAGCCAGCTGCCCTCTGGCCCCACGCTGCTGCCCACTGCCTAGTATCCCTTTGGCCCCAAGTGCTAGCCTCAGCCTCAGGAGCAACAAGGCTGGGGCTTGCATTCCCACTGAGTGTCTGGGCGCCAAGGGCCTGGCGGGCATCTGTAGGTGCCAGCTTTGCCTTCCTGTGCTCTGCTGTATCCCGGGACAAGTGCATGCTTGTCAGATGGTGGCAGGAGCAGAGGGGAGCAGATTCCAGGCTGCTGCTGCCTGCTGGTCCCCAAGACCAGCTATGGGGTCAGCTTGTCTGGTCTCTGCTTCTCCGAGCCTCAGACTTCCTTGATGCTCCAAAATACTAGAGCCCAGAGCCTGTTCTGCTTTCCTATGGTTGTGATCTCACTCCACCTGTGGGCAGTGTTACTGCTCCTTCTGCTCTGGCTGTGTGTTCTCCTGGGGCACTGAGCTGAAAGGTTCTCCTTGGTGCTTTGATTATGGTTCCTTCTGAGACTCTGGTAGGAGCCACCCATGCACTTGCTAGGAAATGTGCATACAACATGTGAGCACACACACACACACCCCATACAGGCACTCATGTCATATACCCATGGTCCCCATTCATCCATCTCCTGCATTTCACAAAGGAGCAGACTGAGGAGGCCCAGGGAGGCTGAGTGACTTGCCCAGAGTCACACAGCAACCGAGTGGCAGGGCAAAGACCACAACTCTGATGTCTGAGCTCAGGCAAGTGGGTTCTGTTCCTAGATGCAACTTTCACCTCTCCCACAAGTTGCTGGCCATTCGTTTCTTTAGCATTGGTTCAAGTGGTTTTGGGACTTTGCTATAAGTTAGTCACTGAGCTAGGAAGTGGGGCACAAAATCAAGAGCCCCTGTTCTTGGCGTCAGTACAGACTTGGGGTGGAGTGGAAACTGTGCTAGGGAGGAAAAGCAAAGGCTTCTCCTGCGTGACGATCCCAGAAGAATTTAAATGCGAAGGTGGGGGCAGCGGCAGCCACCGGAGGAGAGGAGGTAGCAGCATCCTAGAAGGGAGGTGGGCATGACATGGGGGAGGATGGGGTGGAGGAGAGATGAGAGCCCTCACAGAGTTGAGGGAAGGCACCTCCTTGGCTGCTCCTGGCTCCACACAAGCCCCGCCCCCCCACCATGTGCTCTGTGTGTCCGGGTTGGAAGTGGAGAGAAAGGAGGGGTGGTAACTAGCGTGATCTAGGTGAGGGGTGATGGTGTTTGGGTAAAGAGGTGACTGGGCACGCACAGGGAGGCTGGGACTGCTTCAGGGAGGGACTTTAGCAGAGGTGGGGGATGGGAAGGAGGCATTTCACAAGAGGAAAACAGAAAAGTGTCACAGCAGGCAAACACACCCGGGGACCCAGCACTCAGGGTCAAGTCAGAGAAAGAGATATTCCAACGTCTGGTTTTCTCCCCAAATGCCCACAATTGCTGGAGCTGAGCCAGTCTTGAAGTCAGAAGCCAGGAGCTTGTTTGCAGTCTCCCAATGTGTAGGCAGGTTCCAAGCCCCTGGGCTTACCTCCCGCCCCCTCCCCCCTAGGCCCTACACAGGGAGCTGGACGAGACAAGAAGTGGCGTCCACATGGGATACCAGAGTCACCGCCTCATGTTGCTGTGTGGTTTGTAAATTGCTCCTTCTCCTAGCCAGTGAGCTATCTCCATCAACTTCCCTGTGTACTGTGCGCAGACCTCTGGGTCCTGGGGTGTCTGTCTCCGTGTGTGTGTGTGTGTGTGTGTGTGTGTGTGTGTGTGTGTGTGTGAGAGAGAGAGAGAGAGAGAGAGAGATTTGCCCAGGTCTTAGGCTATCATCCATTCAACATCTGTGGGAAGATTCCGTCACACCCTGACTTGCTCCTTTGTGGCCACCTTTTTCCTGCGTGTCCTTTTCGGCCACCAACCAAAACACTTGGGAGAGAAAGTAGGAGAAGCTGCAGGGAACTGCTCTCGAGTGGCCTAGGGGCTGGCTGACCACCTCTCTCAGTCCTCCCCACTTGCTGAGGGCATGCCTTTGTCCCTGGCAGGGGTGAGTGGCTGTGTGGCTCAAGTGGTTGTGGCCACTCCCTGTATTTTTTATTCTCCTCTTTCCGGAAGGGCACAAAGCCAGCCCCTGCCTTCTTGTTTGATGTATGAGCATGTCAAGGGCCCTGGCACCAGGACAGAGCCCAATGCCAAGGGCAGGCAAGCTAAGGCAGCCCCCAGGGTGGGAAGCAGAGGCTGCCATGGGTGGAGAGGCCAAGAGGTGGGGCAGAAAGAGGCCTCGGGCAAAGCTCAGGGTCCAGTCCCTCTTTATCTGCCCCACCTCTGGTCTTAGAAGCTGTTGCCTCCTGCCCAGATTTTTGTGGCCAGCTTGTTCCACTCCCTAGGACCCAGAGAAGGAAGCAGGGTCTCCAAAAACCCAGTCCAGGAATGGCTGTGGAGGAGCCTTTGTGGCTAGAGAGAAGAGTGTTGGGTTGCGGGGCTTCCACTGGTACTCACATCCCAAGCTGTCTTCCCGCTAAGTCTGTGAGTCAGAGCCAGTGGGTAATGAGCTTGGTATCGCAGGAACTTCTCCAAGGATCAATCAAAGTTGCCAGCGGATGGATGGGTGGGAGGAGAGGGGG